TTTTAAATGTCCGCTGATTTGAATTGCTACAAAAGAAGAAAGTTTACTAAGTGTCCAGCAGAGGGCGCGCTTGTCCTCCACAAGGCGTCCTCTCACATGAAACTAGCTGCAAGTCATTTTGCAGCCARAAGAGGGCGCTAAACACTTGACCAAGCTTTAAGAAAAGGGGGGGTGTAAAGATTTATTTTTGTAGATTTGAGGATTTACATAATTATAAATGACTCCAAGGGGATAACTGAATCTTAAGCAGAGCCTTAATTGGATTAATCTGTAATATAATTTAAAGAGCGGAATCATTTTAAAGACGAGCGAAGAGCGCTCTTCATTTTCTCCACAATTTAATCATTTTATATGAGGGAYGTTTAATGATTAGTCTGCATTAAACACAGCGGACAGAAGAAATAACGCAGGTGATGATAAAAGCCATCGGGGATTCTGCTCAATAATTCAGTCGGACTTAAAGCTGACAGCTCGAGCAATAAAAGTTTGTTTGTTTAAGAGGACGTATTAATAGGTAATTTACAGCATGCAGGCGTACTGTGGGAATCTCTACCCGAGAGCAGCTCTGTCTGTGTGTTGTTTTGGCCCGGTTCCCGGCCCATCTGCGGCCTGGCCCGTGGATTACTGTTTGTTAATGTTTCAATCAGCTGTGTGTTGAGGAATGTGGAGCTATTTAACCTGAACTTCCCCAGGTGTGCCGAGGCGCCGCTCAGTCTGGGCCCCTCCGCCCTCCCCTGCCCTTGGCACAAAGCTATCACACAAACACAATCACACGCGCACACACACACACACACACACACACTGGCCACGCCGGGGCTGCAGCTGTGCGCATCCCACCGCAGGGAAATGGGAAAAACATTGCACCAGGGAGACAGAATAAATCTTAAAAACCAATCGCTTCGCCAAAATCCTTTTTAACCCCCGCGGTGCTGATTTACACCAGAACAGCAGATTATAGAGCACATGACGTGAAGCAYACTGCTTTTTCCTCACAACTTTAATTTCCTCCCATCTTTTTTTTAGGTTTGTGATGATTTCATTCTAACGTTTATGAGACAATTCTGCCAATATTTGTCTGTTTTATTGATTTAAAGAGTTTTTTTCTTTTGTTATGTGATACTTTAATGACCCACAGAGAGGCAAATCACCAGTTCAGCAGCGAGGACATGAGCCTTTCTGATCACCACCAGCTGTGGTTTGATGTTACCTGAAATGACTGCACAGCTCGTGACAGGACTCGGCGTCAGATCAGTTTTATGAGCAGGTTTGTGTTGAAACGCAGTGTGATGATCCAGGTTCAATTATTCTTGTTGGGCAATTAAGGTATTTGTTTTGTTGTTTTTTTTATAAACAGACACAAGACGTGATGACGTGTTCAAAAATAGTGTTCTTGTTTTAATAAAAACACAAATAAAGTACATTGTAAAGAAAACAATCTCTTCACATAACTATGGCATTGTAATATACAATACAGTTTGTCGCTCAGGAATCTGAGAAATTACTATTTTTTTTACAAAAGTGTTGAAATTCTTTACATTATCTTTTTTTACACATGATATAAAAAGTGTAACAGAGACATGAAGTTGATTTTTAAAAAATAAAAAAACTCTGTAAGCAACGCGCCGGCTGCTCTGAGCTTGTCTTGGTCCTCCGACTAACCCGGTCTACATCTGGACACCAGTCTGATCCGAGTCCTCGGATGAATCGAGAGCTGTGGATGACTGTTTGAGACCACCTTGGTCTGAGAATGTCCACTTCTAGTTTTTTGTTTAGAGGAGGGGAGTTTGAAACGTCCCTACACAGTTCAAGGCTTTAAGGTTTTGATGTGATCCAGGACAGGAGTCACACCGAGCCGCCTCTTTTTTTGGTCACTGCGGGCGCACGTTTTGAGGATGATGGGGAGGAGGAGGAGGAKGATGCTCCGCKGGGGGTCTTAGCGGCACATTATCCTGTCGTCTGAGCATCCGTTCTGTAGGAAAGAGGAAGAAGAAGCAAAAAGTTCAGCACATGTTAGCTGCAAACATACTCGGAATCTTAAGAATCAAAAGGAGCTACAAATGCGCTTTTACGCACGAGCGTGGCAACTTTACGCACGCATGTTACCCACACTGACGCAGGTAATAATTGGGTGCGAGTAGCTCCAGGTGCAWCTCTGGGTAATTTCGCAACAACGTGAGCAGATATTTACCTCGACTGAGATGCTGGCGAGCTCTGCGTTCAGCGTGGTGAGCGGGGTGCGCGCCGCGCCGCTGACAGAGAGCTGGCGGYTCTTCTCCGGCTCGTCCAGCTCGACCTGCAGGTCCCAGATGTAGTCGATGACGTGCTGCAGGATCTCCACCTTGCTAGCCTTCTTATTCGTGGGCAGGGTGGGCACGAGCTCCTTCAGCTTGCTGTAGCAGCTGTTCATGTCCTGGAGGAAGACGCTCATCTGCTCGTCCAGCAGCGGGATCTTGCACTTGGAGATGGTCAGGCTCTGCTCGGACAGGCCGATCTCTCCGCCGACCTTGCTCTTCAGGGCGCAGGTAGATCCGACAACCTTCATCTTGTCTGGTGTGTAGTGAGGCGTAGCTTCCGCGTAGGGTGAGGACAGATCCGTTTTCTCCCTCTTAGAGATGTTGGCAGCTTAGTGTTGACAGTCCGCAACGTCCACATGGAGCAGCCTCCTCCGGCTTTATAGCGAGGCGCAGCTGCCGGGGGCGTGTCCGAGCGCTCAGGTTTGAAGGAAGGCGGCCAATCAGCGCGCCGCYTTTGTGTTGACGAGGCGGTCCGTGGCCGCGCTCTCAACCAATGAGAGCGCGCGGCTGGTTATCGGAATTTACAATCWGTTGGAGGGATGGCGTTACAAATGGAAACAAATGTGTGTCTTTTATGGCTAATATGTGGGAATCCAGCTGTCCACGGCTTGGGGACTCTGCAGGTGTAGATTGCCCGGGGACAGTCAATGGGTGGCTGAATGCTGGGAGGATGTGTGTGGGATGGGCCGGGCTCAATGGGATGAATGCCTAATGACAATTAGGCGACCACAGTGTCCCAGATTTGCCTTTCACAAAGCTCGATGGGCGCTGCAGATGTGGCGGACAATACTGCAGTACGTTTAGGGAATTAATGACACAGAATGGGGCAGTCTGTTGATGACTTTGATTTAGATAAAAAGATTTACCTGATTGTAAAAACCGACAAAGGAACTCATTGCAAAATCTTGAAGAGCAATCACATAAAAATAAATAAATAATAAGAWCAAATTATTTTATCTTAGGTTACTGTGTCTTTAAATGAAATCTTATAAGCAAAATTCATCATCAGCCAAAGTGAYTGAAAACAAAAGCAAAACTTAAAAGAAGTTCTGCAAACTTCAGGTGCTTAATCCCCACTGTATCCTGACAGCTGCCTTATTTTTTCTTCTTTTTTCTGCATTTGACAGATTTACTAAAAGAAGATCCAAGATCCAATTATTGTCAGATTTTACCATATTTGTTTACCTGAACAGCCATCCTAACATAGGTCAATTACATGACTTGATCTTTCAYTTACTTTTCAGCAGATTCAGCTTTGTGTACATTGGATGCATACCTGCATTTCAGTATCACGTTTTCAACATCTGGAAAACTACTGGAGACTTTCAAATTGCACCATTCTGGATAAGTTTTTTTTGTTATTATTATCATTTTATTTATATATAGTTTTTGATGAGTACCTTTAAAATGTGTTTGCATCTGGATGAAACCCTGTAGTTAAACTCAAAGCTCTCTTTATCCTCATAAAATACGCTTTTAAAAAAATCACACAGTCTCTTTTTATAAGCTGAAGGAAAGTGAGTGAGAGCAGCGGATTCCTTCACTTGTTTCTGCACACTCAGATCGCATCGCCGTGTTCCTCCTCCTCCTCCTCCTCCTCCCCAGTCCTCCTCCCAGATTGTCCAAACAAGCCTGAGCAGACTGGCAGGCGCCAGCGCGGTGACGTCACCCATTCATCCGAGCCTTGACGCCTGTCAGCCTGGCGCCGCTCGGGCGGTCTCCATGGAGATGTCAAACAAGAGAGCTCGCACTCCTCCATTCACCTGCGCGGAGAAGCGGAGCCCTGAGAACAAACCCCGCTCTGGAGGAGTTTTTTCCCCCCATCTTTTCTCCTTCATTTAGCACCTTGAAGCAGCGGGATGAGATTACCGSCCCCCGCGCACCTGCAGAGTTAAAACGCTGAAGAGGAGGAAGACTCCTCATTATGTTGTTACCGCATTCTAACACAAAATAAGAGCTGCATTCCTCCAGACAGCCCACTTTCACTAACATATGTCTCTGTGGCTGCTGTACAAAAAAAACTTGCTTTTTATGTCAACTGGAGGAATTCTCCTCTCAAGTTGCATGTTTTTTTCTCAATTTCTGCACAAAAAGAAAAGTGCATGAAAGAAATATATAAAAATACATTTATCTTACAATCAAATCGCTGCTAATTATTACACGTTTGCAGCAATAGCCAGAAAAAAGAAGTATTTTATAATAATCGTCTAATACTAAAGATGCAAGGGATATTTTTTGCCTTTGTCAAATGTGCTCTTATGTCTGTCTGTTAGCAAAATATCTCAAAAACCACCGCACGTATTTGAAYGAAATGCTCAGAAAATAATGACTCAATGCAAATCTGCATCTCTTTAACTTTTGGAGCCATCCCCGTTCAAGATGGCCGCCCCCAGCTAAGCAACCTCAACAAACATGTTTATAACTCAGATGATTGGACAGAGTTTGAGCTAAAATGKGATCAAGTTGTATGTGATAGTCCTCCTCAACACATACTTTGAGCACTACAGATTGTGCGTGTTCTTGCTTTGAATTTTAGCATTAACTATTAAGTCAACACTCTCTGTCTGTTAGCAACATATCTCATGAACCGCTGCATGGATTTTAAGGAAACTTTCAAAACKTAATTATTGGATGTACATATACAACCGATTAACTTTTGGAGACATCTCAATGGAAGACGACCACCACAGTCAATTAAACTTAAAAGGAAACAGAAATACCTAAAGCTCAGTCAATTTTCCTGATATTGAGCTCAAATTGATTGGTAGTAGCTTAGAGTCATCTCTTTTATGTAATCTGAGTTTTTTTTTTACATTGCACATTATCTTCGCTTAAAATTTTTGACTTTAACTGGTGACACTGTTTGACTGAAGCAACTTGAGAACCACTGGACAAACGAATTACTGAACGCTTTTCTGCAAATCTTTAACTTTTTGGAGTCAAGCTCATATAAGATGGACACCACGGCTCATTGACATTATCCAACAAGTAGCTGGTAGTAGCTGACAGTCATCTTCAGTGCTAACAGTATGAGTGTGGATATTATTGTTAATGTTTTTTAAGGAGCAATAGACCTTACAGAACCTTGTTTTCAGAACAATATTCCCTGTTGACTAATGCTGACCTTCGTAACTGTTTCTGCCATTTCGTGCTGTTTCAAGTGCATACATGTTCGGATAAGGTTATTGTCATTGTGGTTTAGGTGGAAACTCCGGCCATCTGTCGTAGATGACTCTTTGAATGACCTCGATTTTGAGAAACAGTTTCTGACAGGGCTGATGAGCTAACAGCTYCAAACGTAGCCAAGATGAAAGTGGATTGCTGCCATTAAAAAAAAAAAACTTGTTCAGCTTTGCATTAAACTGCTTTTATGTTGACCCTGGTCATTTGCAAAGGCAAATACAGCAGCAGCAGCTAGCTGTAGCACTTCCTGTGCAGCCTGGGGTTAATCTGGTGGAAATATCGTCAAAAATGGTGCGAACATAACTGTAAATCAAACTGAAGGGTGACGTGAAGCTTACTAAAATAATGTAAAATTAAATGTAAAAGTTTTGGATTGATTTAAAAGATCTAGCAGCTAAAATGTAATTTCTTCAGAAGCTTTCTACAGAAGCCCCCTTGTACTGTTAGCAAAATATCTCATGAAGCACTGGACAGATTTCAATGAAACAATTACGATATAGCTGATTCACTTTTAAAGCCAACTCAAATCAAGATGGCCGCCACAGCTGATTAAACTTATAACCAACTCACAAATCCGCCGATTTTACAAATATTAAGCTAAAAACCTGATGTAAGAATCATCCTAAACATGTGAGCATCATATATCGCAGTGTTGCGTGAAATTAGTGTTTTAACTCCATCATTCCTCAACACAAGATGATTTCAGTCTAAAACTCATGCATGGTGGTCGATGTGCAGTCCTTTAAGGCAGTGTTTCCCAAAGTTGGGGTCAGGACCCAAAATGGGGTCCCGAAACTTCAAGGTGGGGTCCTGAAAAGATTTTCTGAATTAATTACATTTTTGCCTTAGTTGTTACAAAGGAGTGAGGTTAGTATATTTAAAATGGAGAAATGTAGTTTAAAAATATTGTTACTATGCCCATGTTTAGTTGACCTGATACAAATGTTTATCATCCAAAAACAGTTGGGGGCACAGGTCTCTGCTACTGTTATTTTGTGGGTCAAAACCTGAAAAATTCGGGAACCAGTGCACTTTGGTTCCCAAAGTTGGCTTGGGACCCAATTATGGGTCATGAAGCACCTTGGATAATCTCCAGAAATCAATTTAAAGGGTAATAAAATAATTGCTGATGTAATATTTTCCCTGTAATTATTACAAATGCACAAAATAAGTATAAATAAGTATTTATATTTGTGTAYAAGCTGTTTAGATTGTCAAAAAGCCTGTGTTTTTAGGGTTATTAAAAATGTTTGTGTACTCAGACCWGTAATATTTGGGGTCACAAGTTTTTGCCATGGATATTTTGTGGGTCAGAAGATAAAAWGTTTGGGAACCACTGGTTTAAGGAATGATAGGTCAAAAGATGATATTGTCTCAGTCACACAACACGGTGTAATTTAGCACAATTATTTGTGTTTCTATAATCCCAAAGCAGCTATGAACAGCTCGTTCCCTTCAGATTTTAAACTGCGAGCAACAAAAAGTCCCTGCATTTATCTRCACAGATGTGCCAGAGTTAATGTCAGTTAACCACCACCGGCTGTTTCTCCTAGCTGTCGCAGAAGCTTGTGAAAACTTTTCTAAAAACTTTTTTTCCCTTCTTCTTCTTTTCCCCTCTCTCTCTCTCTCTCTCTCTCTCTCTCCCTCCTCTCTTTTTGCCCTCTGTCCCAGGTCGCAGCTGACAGGGCGGAGGGAAGGCCGGGTGGGCAGAACAATGGGAGTGCGGTGGAGGGATTGTGGGAGAGAATCTAGGCTGGAGCCACAGTGTCTGGAGCGCCCCTCCACTCCCCTCATCCAGCTTTTGTTCAGCTGCAAAAGCTATCAGCACTTCCTACTGACACCAACAATAACTCCACACAGCTGGGCCCTTTTTAGCCTGTTTACAGCACATCAAGGCGAGGGGAGACACAGAAGACAGAGGGACGGGGCAGAGGAGGGCAGAGAAAAGTGAAACATATTAGCTCCTGATTTTAACTGACAGAAYGCCGGTGCCCTGTCCCAGCTCGCCCCCTCACACACCACATTCATTTCCCAGCAGACTCCCTGTGCTGATACTCACTTGCTCCTGTGACAGGCTACTGTTTGACTGTTGCAACACCCACCCTACGGCAGAAAGGCAACACTTGTTTTGCACTTATATTTGCACCCA